ATNATATATATATATATATTATATATATATATATATATATATATATAGTATATATATATATATATTGTAGTGTTTATGTATGTATGTATGTATATGTACCTGTGTATGCTTTTTATTAGTTTTTATACTTATGAATGTACATGTCCTATAACTATTTGATAATATAAACGGAATTATATAGATGGTTTCTAACCCGAAATAAATACGACGATTTTATATATTTTTGCATCCTATTCTTCGCACAAATAAGCTTTACTAAGCTTGTTCGGGGATATTTTGAGTAAGAGTATGCCATGAAACTACATGCACCGTGCTTTGCTTCAATTTCATCACCACTCACACTTTGCACACAGACTGTCCTGGAGCGAAGCCGCAGCAGTCAATGGCGCGATTCCAGCGACTACTTGCAGAGTCCATTACCGCCGCCTACTGTTGCGATGAACAATATGCAATTCGTAAGTGTGCGCTTTTTGTGATTGTATTACGTTCGGATGTCTACCTTGGATAATTTAAGTCGACCTATATATGCATAGATATACATTTACAATACCAGGGTTCGCCCTGATGGTGGTCTTCTTTGTATACTTTTTGTTTCTTACAAGCCGTATCTTTACACCTCACACTGCAACCTAGCCTCCTTTGTTAACTAATGTAGTATGTATAGTTGACAGTCAGTGGATGCATATTCTTACAGCTTGTTTTACGTAAAAATAAACACATTGTTGTATCATAAGTATCAACATTCTTAGTATCGCGCGCACTATGTTAAATACAGGTTTACATTCTATGTCTCCCATTATGTGCCGCATTAGTTGTTCAACTGCTTTGCTATATAGTGGACGACAATCTTTACAGCTCAGCTAATTATGTAAATACGAGGTTGTTCCCGCGCGTATATATTCATCGAAGCATCCGGAGGCGCTGTTCAACAGGACACATTATTAATATTGTGTTTTATTGCCATTGTATTCGAGTATATTATAAAACCGGTGCGCTTCATTCCCTTGCAGGTACCCGATAACAGTTGGAACATGGAGCGCAGAGTAGTGAGAAACAACTGGATGGTGGGTCTAGCCATCGTGCTGGTTGTTCTTTACAACACTTTTGACGATTGGGGTGCATTCACGATTGCTGTAGTGCCGAAGTCGGGGCACGGAACCGCCCCTTTGTGATGTGTGGGTTTGTGCTACGGCCGTTTGGAGGTTATCGTCTAGTGAATATTTAACCGTGCATCCAGGGTGTGGTGCACCTTCGTTTGCCGGCAATTCGGGGGATTTGCAATGAGCGTCCTGGAGTGCTACACCATCCCATTTCTGGCTGGGGGTATGGGGAAACCCAGTGTCTACGTAGGTGCGCTATACGTGCACACACCATGCATAAACCTTGGTTACCCAACCTGATCCGACTTGGAATTGAGCTAGTTGCCTGTCGCAGAAATTTCACACAGCTGAGTTGTGTCCGTCTGTAAGTCAGTATGATAACTTGGAGCACGTGGGACATAACACAATAGGCACCTGGACGTACACTCCGGACCACCAACGAATCTGCCTCGCCGTTGTGAAAACTAGATCCTCTGTAGATGATGAATAGTAGACCATCTGTAGATGATCTCCACGCCAGATCATGCCATGTCCAACTGAGAGGCTTGATGTTGTGGCGGCGTCATAAGGAATACGAAACACACAACCCATTTTTACAGCTCTAATGAGGTTGACACGCCTACCCTGCTATTTCCCAGCTACTATGAAATACCACAAGTTTCGCTTATCACAAGGAAATGAGAAAGTCGACCTTTATGTGGGTAATACCACGTTGCGCACCGCAGCGTGATCATCGGTTAATCAATAGTGAGAGCAAACTATTGGTGAGCAACCGGTATTGTTTATCGAAGATTGTATAGTTTCCATATTATCCTTCAGCTTAAAGCCATCGGGATCGAAACAACTGCCTCCGACGTGAGTGCCAGATAATACATCATATAAACAATACCTCATTTTATATACCATAGTCTCCTTAAAATGACTAGGATCTTTAATATAGGAGGCTATGCAACTATGTACTAATTATTTGCCCGATTAGCCTATTTATGATGTTACGATTGCTGAAGGAGCACCCAACCGGCCACACTATCCTTGTTTGAATATATACTACTGCCCATTTCAGCCAAGAGAGTGGTTGCTGAAGGACTAGCGAGTGATAATTTGTGGACCTCACTCTGCCGCGATAACTTTAGGCCTATAAGGTCACAAATATATTCGAGTTCTGAGGTTTTACAAGACGATGTCGGCTCTGCCATTGTGTTTAAGTACTCACAAAAGTCTACACTCTGTAGATACTTGCGAATGGCGTGTTGCTGACTGAGTTCAGCGGTTGTGGTGGAGTGATCCAATCCCTTGTATGGGATGCCCTTGACCAGGCAGTGCTCGGCTATCTTCCTAACAATACCCATGCAACCTGAGAGTACACCAGGAAGAACTCAGAATGAGCATCAACAAAACTATAATACCGTAGTCTAACGGTAAAATACATCCTCGTAGATGAACAACAGAAAACAAACGTCATGCAACCTGATTGTGGAAATCAGAAAGGGAGTGAATTTGCAACTCTATCTTATGAGCACCGTAGTCGATAATCTAATCAGACGTGGACAAGAAAATGAAATAAAGAACACTCATGCAACTTGTAATGTCACACCAGAAAGAAACAAAAGTGAGCATCTGCATATCTATGTCACATACTTGGCAATCGAATCATTAAGCATGAACAGACAAAAAAAATACTCTATATAAGAAACATATCAACTCACCTTTTCGAATCGCAATGTCCATGCAACGGTCTCCGTTAGAATTAATGATATTGACATTCGCATCGCGTGCGAACAAGTGGTTCATCATGGTTATGTTTCCCGTGCGGCATGCGGCGAATAAGACGGTCTCGCCATTGTGTTCTCTGAGTGTACAGTCCACGTCAAAGTCCATACATTCGTCGACGCTAAAGCATGCATCATTTACCTGTATATACAATGTATGTGCCGTTGTTTATTACGATGGGCCTATTTATGGGGTTGCAAACATTTGCGACAGCAATCTGGCAACAAAAGAATACTGCGATGTGGTAGGTATCGAAATAAATAATAAACAATAGTCAGCTCAGCGGAGAAGTTTGCTACATACCCAACTTTCACGTCGATTCAATGCAATGTATATTCTAGTAGCATTCTGTAATCGGCTTTGAGATGTCTTCATGATTGATGTGTGATGGCAGCTATGATGTAACCACCTCCGGGCAGTACTCTTTAAATCACAAAAGTACCATAATCCACGCAAAGCCGCTGACTGTGCGATTCTCTATTGTAACCTTAACGCTCGGACTCTTTGAAGCTCACAGATATAAAATACGTGAACAAGATGTCTGTAACCCCTCTTGACAGCTGACAATGGGTGGGATTCCACAAAAGTCTACAATCACAAAACCAGTTATATATAAAACAACCGCCTTTTGCCACTCTCTGGAGTCCTGTCTGTGACGGTGTAAACTCACTGACTGAATGTAAAGTGTGAACACTGAACAGTGAACACTTCTGCGCGACAGACTGACATAGTGACAGCTGTGACCCCGTGGGCCCACTCGGCCAGTCCCCAGGCCCCACAGTCACGGACCACAGTTTTGAGTCCACTGACTCACTGACTCTGAGAGACCGAGTCTTCAGTCCTCACTCCTCGCTCCTCAGACCTCTCAGACAGTGACAGACAGTCAGACCTCAATCCTGAATCCTCAATCCTGAATCCTCTCAGTCTCTCACAGACTCACACTATGTTGTCAACTAGTCGATGTCTCAATTTTGATTGATCGAAAAAAAAAAATCAACCATAGCACTTGACTTTACTCTACGCACTTCATAGAGTAGACTCTGGAGCTGATGGACTACATATTTGTCCGATCCGCACTCCGCAGTTCCGTACGACGGAGAAATATTGCATAGCCTTTGTTTGATATTGTGATATAGAAGAATAGAATGCTATGAATACAGTTGAGAATTCTGCTATGTATGTAAATATTTAATATTATCTGCAATAGACTAATACTAAATAGTAAATACATGGCCCATTATCAAGAGCAGCGCTCAGAATCTATGGCAAAACTGTCTACTCTTGGCTTTTTACGCACACGGTTTTCGACTTACGGTCTACGGAATATAAATATTTAGTTTTTCTACGCAAACATGAAACTTCAACCGGGCCTGGGCCTTGGGGCCCTGTGGCCTGGGCTGGCACACTTACAAAGTTGAAATAAAAATACTGTGTATGACCATGTGTTGGTGAATAGTCGTGGGCCGAGCTTCGCGGTTTGCCAACAGGAAATCTATGTGGGCAGCGACGCCAGCAAGTCACAAACCGCAATCTTCAGTTCTACACACCACAAATCGCCGTAAATAAACCCATACAGCTACATGTCCTTGTAATTTAAAACGTCAGACAGGTATGTAGAACTTTTTTTTCCATATGGCAGAACTATGGTGCACATCTTGTTCGAGCCCCAGTGCTAGGATATTCACCTTTATTCACTGTGGCGCCTCACATAGATTTGAGGTTCCTTGTTGTCCACCCCTATGGACGACATGCCGTTTACAACTTTTAAAGTGATAGGTAGTACTTCCTGTTGAAAGTTTCGATTCTGAGTCTAATAAATAGTTCAAGAAGTGATTGGGCTCGCATAAGAGTACAACAAATAGCAACACCCACTAACTGAAGTATCCACAATTTTTATATAATTTTTAATTTAAACTACATTGAAATATCTTCGTCTATTACATCCGCATCCCGCACGCCGTCACAGTAATTCCACTTGGGATATGCACGCTTGTACAGACTCATGCAGACTGTATCCTCAGCACGCATAGCTCCGTTGAATGAGCACTTCATGTGTCCGTGTGTACCTATGGAGAAGGGATAATATTCATCAGCATACATGCCTTAAAACGCAAAGGTATATGACTTTGTTGTACTACATTAAATGCCGCAGATCGGACTATAGTGAGATCGATAACAATGACGTGCACATTTAATTAGGAAAAGAGGAAACGAACCAGTAAAATTGTAAATATGATGACTACAAAAGACCTTAAAATACTAACATCATCAGACTGCTATGGCGGGCACGTCCTCCAAAGAAAAATAAAATCAAGCGATTGGTTGTCAAGCTCGTATACATATATCTACGCGCCAAACCATAAAACATATATCTACGCGCCAAACCATAAAACATACCCAACGTTTCCTTGATATGACCCCTGAGTCCACCCTTGGTCCACAGCTCCACCGACTTGAACCATGCAATATCACGGGTATTGAAGAACATATACCGCACGGTGGCGTGTCTGATGTTGATCTTGTATGGCGCTCCGCTCAAGACAATCTTCTTCAGGTTGACTCGGTCGGCGTTCACACTGCTTACGGACCCCAGGGCCAGCAGCTTGAGTGTATTCGATCCCGCAATCCGCTCAAACACCACTGTGGGAAGGTGACCGAAGTGTACCGGTGCATACACACTGGCCACTATCGGGCGGGACGCATGCAGAAAGCGTTCCATCTTAAACTTGTCGCCGCGCGTGTGCTGACTGAACACAGTGGACGCCGTGAAGGTGCGCAGAGGTGTAACATACACTAAATCAGCCTTGTTCTTCACAACTCGCTCGTTGGTCGAGTGTCGCTTGATGGTGAAATTGACCACCGTCATCTTCCCCTCGTGGCGCAGAAGATTCGTCATCACAACGGGCACCTTGCTGTGTTGCTCTGTGGATGAGATACAGGAATCCTTATGAATATCAATAATACTTGGCCGCGTGAATAAGTGCATCCAAATGTAGCCCTACACACATATATATGAGCGGTTCGTTGCGTCCGTGAAAGGAACTTGTCTCGAGTATGTGTACATAACCGGATATACGATGATCATATCGATGGTATCTATCTACTACAACTGATAGCATAATTACATACAAGGAATAACAACATAGACACGCTGCGCTTGTGATACGCCATTGAATCGACTAATATGCCTAAAATCACGTCAATACGCATCAGACCGTATCGACACAATTTACCCCGTTCACAATGCATGTCCTCATATCATGTAGCAGTATATGGGTAGCATTAAATACACCCAAGACTCAAATACGAGGTTTTAATCAAGCCTTCGAGGAATCACGCACACACATGCATACATCGGTATGTCAAAAAATATATATACATACGGGATATAATACGCACACTGTAGTACATGTTACCAAATCTCGTAGCGATTGCTAGCTCAAACATCGTACTTGCGGCTGCCTGATAGCTACAAGGATGCGCATATACATATAAACGATCAGTTAGAACATCCCACAAACCCTACAACAGCATTACTTGCTACAACTACATACCACTCGGGTTTGCTAGCTGCCTGCCGAACTCAGCCGGTACGTTCGATATGTACACAGTCACATACTGCCCCGGCGCAATGCCGTTCTTCTGTGCCTCTACACGCACACGCTTGTGTGTGCGCTTGAAGTCGTCAAACTGGAATATCCTAGAATAGTCCAGCGGCAAAGACTCTTTCGGGTCCCACTTACTGTCCTTGAAACTCTGCAACCCTCGGAACTTCTGAAATCGAATATGCGCGGGCTGGTCCACGGGCGTGTCAATCTCATCTGGGAACTCCAGATCATCGTTCTCCTGCTCTGCGAGGGCCAGATGCCTCTCTCGTACCATGTCTTCGTACATCTCCTGCTCCTTCTCGTAGTCCATGCCCTTGTCGTACTTCTCGAACATCTGCTGCTGCGTCTCCTCGCCCTCGACGTCCTCGAACTCCTCCGCACTGTCCACCTTCACTCGGCTCACACCCGCACCGGCATCGCCATTAGCCAGACCCTCAAGCATGCTCAGAGTCAAAGGCGCACTTTTCGCAACACTTATGTTATTGTTGTGGACCTTCTTGTTCGCCTGAGGATTGTAGAAGTCCTCGTTCATTTCGACGTCGTCCATGTCATCATCCATGTCGGTTAGTTCGGCATCAGTCTCGTCGCTGTCGTTCTCTTCCTCGACAATCCATGCGGCTTGATATGCAGAGGTACCCTATAAATGAGAAACGTAAGCACATTTGAGCATGACTACGAGGTAATAAAATCATAGTTTGATAAATAAATAAATAAATATATACATATATGAATACATATATATATATACGTGTGTGGGCGTACATAAATTTGACCACATAAATTTGCCTACATATATATAAATATATTTAGATGTGTGTGCGTGTACATAAATTTGCCTACATATATATAAATATATATAGATGTGTGTGCGTGTACATAAATTTGCCTACATATATATATATCATATATGCATCCTATCCATACCCATATATAAATTTGCCCATATACACACACACACATATATATATATATATATATATATCTTATATCATATCTATTTATATACATGCATATAAAATTTGCCTACATATATATATATATATATAGGCATGCATATATATATATATATATATACAGGCATATAAACAAATACAGACATATATCGAAACAACCTGTAAATACGTTCGATGTGCATGTAGAATGTATACGCATACGCATATACGTGCATGCTTTAAAATATCGATTATTATACTAATAAATATAAGAATCATAATATTAATTTATATGAACACACCCGTAAGTCTATATATATGCATATATATATGTATATAGATAAATTCTGAAACCCTATATATATATGTATTTGTGTTTGAAATTTATATACAATCTATATATAAATATATATGCATGTACTCAAATGCACACTTATATAATCGTATACATTTACATACACGTAAGAATATGCGAATATATATATATCTGTGTATGTATACGTATGTATGTAAACATGCATATGTATTTTGTATGTACACGTATACCGATACGTATATATATATATCCATACACGGACATAGATAAATGTATATATATATATACACAATATATACATAAGTATGGATATATATATACACACACACATATATATATATATATGCATAATACCTTAGAATTTACGTGCGAACTCAATTTTTCACAACCACGATTAAGTCAATACTAAATACTCATTGTAAACTATATCTCTGCATAATACTGTATATATCATAATAATAATGACGAGCATATTATCAATATAATGTAGGAGCGTATACTATAGATATGCATTCATATTAAGACTATAATTACGCATATGTTTATCTCCCCGTGTTTATCTGATGTGTGTGAATACGGGTCTACGAATAATAGGGAAATGGCTCTATATATTCTTCTAAACATGAGTGCCCATAGGATATAGTTGTAAATTCATGCATATACAACATAGTGTGTGGTTTGGAGCAAAAGTATACAAACATGCTGACAAGCATACCTTAGGCACACGCTTCACAACTTTCGGCATCTCAAACGTGCGCTCGGCCTCCAATTCCTCCTCCTCTGTAGGGAACGTCTGCTCCTGATCCATCATATCTGGTTCAAGTTCACTGACTAATGTGTCCTTCTTCAAAGCATCCGGTACAGCCAGCATATCTTCGTCGTCGTCACCCATTTCTACATCTGTCCTATTGTCCTTTTTAAGGTCGAATTCTGTGTGAGGATTTGCCGCGCGAACCACTTTCTGTATTTGGAAATCGCCACCACCAGGAATATGTACTAATCTATTTGCGTCCAACTTAGAGCCTCTGATATAGCCCGTCAATTTTAATGTCCCATTGTCTGCGCCACCATTCATTTCTTCATTGTGCACAAACCCAACCTTGTCTGGTACAACATACGCACGCTTACTGCGCCAATCAACGGTGTCGCGTTTCTTAGTAGCCAGCGCACGCAGTAACGCCAGTGCGTCAGTGGTGGTATCACATGGCAGTATGCGCTCGTCGGCGGGGAAGTGAAACTGCAGATACTTATGCACGGCTTTTTTTACCTCTCCTCTGCGTTTTACAGGCATGCGCTCTAGACCGAGTACAACACTAACCATCGGTGGAAGACCAATAGCCTTGGCACATGTAATCGCGATCTCACCCGCCTCGTCCGGAGCGCTGTCGCATGCGGCCACGAACACAACAGTATCCGCCATTTTAACTGCTTCCATAACACTCAAAGTGTTTGTTCTATCTACGTCGATGAATGTAAATCTATTTTTCAACGTACGAGAAGAACACGTCGACATCGCTCCGAAAGCGCTGACAACCGCATCTGCGCTGTCTACATCCTCCTCCTTGGCCACACCGAGCAGCCGGTCCTTCACATGCGAACTCTGAGCGCCATCGCATACTGGAATAAGTGCAATCAACTGCGAAGCACCTGACATACCTCCAATCAATCGTTTCGCACTGAGGACTGCCACACGCTTCTGGGCACGTATCTGCTTTGCGCGGTTGCGTCTGTCTAGCTTGCTGGCTTCATGCTTGCCATTCTTGTCGTGTTTACTATTCAAGGCGAGTCTACCCTTGCTCTCCTCCGCGCGCGAACGTTTACTAGAATGTTTGCCAAATTTATGGCCTTTATTGGCCTGTTTTAGGGCACCCGACCTATGACTATGTTCCATCGCGAACCGTTTCGTCTACCTCTCTCTAAGGTTCAGTTATCACGATTGTGTGCTTATTGAGAGTGCAGTCAATCCTTATGGTCGTAAAGTGCACGTGCGTAATATTGTGATTTTTAGGGTTTTGAATTGAAAACCTAACAAAGCCTATCTAAATATATGATGGTCTTCTTTAACTTTTGTCGACTGATGAGTGATGACAGTTGATGACAGTTGATGAGTGACGACTCTCTACTAGAGAGTGTTGAGACTTGAGACTTGAGACTTGAGAGTGTATAAAAGTACATCTCACTACATCGTATATTTGTATTGAACATTGGCTCAAGTAAACCTCTCGTTTCTTTACTCTTTCCCTGTAGGAGTTCAGCCTAGCATAGTGGTAGAGGTTAGGCACGAAAGAACATCTCTAGACGTCCCCGAAAAAATGCTATTTTTTTAAAACTCAGTTATAATCCAGAAAGGAAATGAATATGTAGCAGAACTGCTGCTTTGACAGTTCCTTGACACTTAAGATTTAGATTCTGCATCTGACTCTACCCGGGTCTACCGTCTGAATCACTCTCTCGGACCACCCCGGATCTATGGAGTAGGCTTTACCAACCACATGAACATCTTCATCCTTCCCGAAGAGCTGCAGCATGGTCGGATAGTTTGCTCAGCATTTTTGCCAGGTGTGCCAACCAACCGTTCTACCTCCATAACAGAGGTGATGGTGAGCTGTATCGGGATTCGGAATGGTTTCTATCGACTTTTCAAACATAGCTGCAAGTTGATTTGTAGTTTCTGTATTCATTCGCCTGCAGGGTCAGTTGATAAGATTATCCATATCTGATCTACACGCCACACTGATCCAACGTGATATTGGACGAACAGATTGCAGGTATTAATGATCCCGTCATTAAGTTGCGCTAAAACTTGTTTCTGTTGCTTACGGCCGGATAAATATGCGAAACTGAAAATTCCGGCTTGACTTCGCAAGTTGAATTGATTCTTGCGATCCCGGATACCACGAGTATACTTAATTTAAGGAATCGCTCGTGTCGATCTCTCCGCTGGCTTTAGATTCTGGATGCGCGTCTATGTACCATCAGGGTTTATTCCAACCAAGATAATTCTTGGCGGCTACGATATCATCTGCTGCTGACACTAGTGTATTTCATTGATCGCATTTAGCGGTATCGTATTCAAGTTGGATTTCTGTTTTAGAGAGTGGTGCTTTTATGCTTTTATGAGATCATACAGTTGGCCTGCGCTCGCTCGGTCTCTCTTGTTTCTACCGTTTTTCCGGTACACAAGTTTGTTTGTGTGATGCTAAAAGTTATTTTGTACTTATATTTAAATCATTCGAATCCACTTCCAAATGTTCTTAGTTAAATATCAATTTATACACAAACGCGAACAATTCAAACTTCGATCATCTTATTCATCGACGGCCTCCAAGGAGTTCTTGCCAGAGTCAAACTTTACCTGCGAATTGTATAGCAGAATCCGTCAGAAAATTGCGTCGTGTTCCCTTCTATATTCGCTGATATCGCTTCACGTGGTAAATTGATTCAATGTTTGAATGAGCACTTTTATTGAAGCGGGTATTCGAATGCAAAATCAAAGCCCGCAATCAATTGCTTTTCAGTTTCTAGTGCAGGGCATTGTGACATAATGTAGCTTCGCTTCCCACAGTGTATTTACCAGTGTCCATTCCCCCCTTTTTCATGTCATCATAATTTGAGTTTTCAGGCTGTACCAAGTATCAACACGGTTTGGGTATCAGGAATGACGTAATATGGGGAAGGCAACTAATGCATCGTTTCAGCATTTTGCCAATTGGAATTCATATTCATATTAACCCCCGCAGTCACCTGTAATTGTGTACATCAGCTTTCGACGACATGACTTCCGCGTTCATGGCATATAGCTCTGTCTCTATACTTAGTTCCTTCCGAATGTTTTATGAATCATAGGATGAACGTTGTCGCCCTTAGGCCAACATATATCGTCGAGTTCACCCCTTGGGGAAGAACAGGTGCCGAGCGAGAGGAGTGGACAATATCTCTTTATCTCTCTAATTCAAAATAGTGTATTCTCTCTCAACTATTTATTTAAAAATGGACTCTCTCTCAGTCTTTCACTCAGTTTAACTTCGACCTTTCTCTCTCCCTCTACATATCTACTACTAGAGAGACTCCCCATCTAGCAAGTCTAGCTCTAGAGGGAGCTAGACTCTTAGAGACCGGATACGTGAGAGTCTGCGACTGAGAGTCTAAGAGAGACTTCACTGACTTGCAGAGTGCAGACTTGGGAGTCGAGACATAGCCTTCTAAATCATACATTGAGGGGCTGATTATTATATATTTTGTATTTATCATTATTGTTGTCAGATGACAAATGTTGAAATGTCACTATTTGTTTTCTTTACTGCAAATAAATTTTTTTTTGGGGTTGGGGGGGGGGTTTAAAGTAGTATGTGAGAGACAGCGACTCAGGTGCAGGCCTGCAGCAGTGCAGCCTGCACCGAGTACACTCCCTGCAGTACATAGTTACATAGCAACATATGGACTATGGCGCATGCACTCTGCAGAGTGCAGAGCTGCTGGATCTCAAATTCTCAATCTGCTCAAGAGTATAATTTTACCAAATATTTTGTGTTTATTTTAAGAAAAGATTTATGTTGAGCTCTTCCTGTGCTACGATTGGTCAATGGTCTCTATACAAAGCATAGAGCTTTATTACTTTGGTTTTTCTTCTTCGGGGTTTCTTACTCTTTTCAATCAATACATAAATAGAAAACAAAAGGGCGCACAGTGCACCCCACTGCATCAAACAACCCAATTGATAAAACTTCTATGGCACCGCCTAGCGCCCTGGACCTCTCCTTCGCTCTCATGACTCTTCCATCTCTGGCATTTTGCAGTATACTAGATAAATTGTCGTCTCGTGGTTTTTGTTTTCTTGATGCGGCCCGGCTCAAGAATATTTGTATAAAAAGTGTTAATCGGACAATACGCTTGTATTCCGTCGGTGCACCCACTCCGTGTGCACTCGCGAGGAGGTAATATGGGTCTACGCGAAGGACACTGATGATCATTGCTTGATGTGCGGCAGAAAATCGTGGTCTAAACAAAAGCTTAGCTGATCCTTGATCGCATCCATTGTCTGTACAAGGGCGTCGAGATCTGACGAGGTTTTCTGGCAATGAGTATCAAGTTCAAGCAAGTGAGTTGGAGGTGGAAAAATGTTCCGCATTCGACAACCATTGGGCAATCACTAAACTGTATTTTAAATCAAGGAATATGGATATAATGGGCGGCCAAATTGGAAATGAAACTGGCAATAGTATAACGCTAAAGAAAACTATCAAGAACGTAGAAATGTACACAAAGCAAATTTGATAATAAAATCAAACCGTTTCGGAACATATCAAATTCGCTACGAGCCTAGATACCTACTAAGCTGAGCGAATGGTCGCACTGATTTTGGACATTCAGCTGGCTGCAACTTCTGTCTCACATGAACAAGTGCGAGAGCAAGCCTATATTGAGCAGTACAAAAACTACGCATATGTACGGGATGAATGTGGACAATATATAGCACCGCAAAGAAGTCATAATACATGCGCGTATCGTATATGTACATAGATTTTATGAATGTGTAGCAAACAAATACTGACACTATTTACACCATAATCCAATATAACATCCACTGGATACTAGAAAATCACATAAAACCTACCTGCGCATTCTGAGAAGTGCTGTTTATCGAAGTGCTGATCAGATCGACAATGTTTATTAAACGGGTATATTCACGAGCCTCTGTATGGCAGATTGCTTTACGAAGATCGACATTGGCTTGTCCTGAGTAAATTATTATATTTTTATTATCATTTTCTGGTATGCGATTGCCAGCAAAAAGGACAAGCCATTGTGATCGTCATAATACATCAAGGGTGATATATATATATATATATATATATATATATATATATATATATATA